TTGCTCTGAGGACAACACTCTGCCGAGCCTTTACAAATTAAATACATATGATTAAATTAAATGTAGCTCATAAAGGAAAGTTGAAATTATGATTGACAATATGGTATAAAAACAGTTTTTTATTTGTGTAGGTGATCATACAAGACAAAGTACACAAATGTACATGTTCTAAGAGTCTGCTGATTAGATGTTGGACAACATAAATGGTCATTTTTTGTCCCTTTGTAAGATCACGAAGGTTTGAAATCATTAATTTCAGCTGAAAAGACGATTACCATACATTTACTGAAGTATTTTTCTTCATAACGAATTATTTGTACTTTTACTGTAAAGAAGCTGAGTACTTCTACCACTACTGCCTAGTTCTGCACAGATAATGTCAGCTGATCAATGAGCTAAAACATGCAACATTCAGTTGTGAAGAAAACACACAGAGTGATGGATCCACGCAGCAATTTGAATCTTATGTAGCTGCAGATAGAGCCAGAAATATAATAATAATAATAACACGAACCTCCAGTGTGGTTTTAAAAGCAGATACATCTTCACATTTCACACGTGCAGATACTTTCCATCCACATGTTCACTGAGCTTTGGATGTGATTGTGTGTAGGTGCTGTCATCTGCACCACAACATGTGCCAGGAGTCGGATTTCGCTCAGCAAAGCCACTAACTGGATAATTAAGAGTGCTCTGTACACTCCAATTAGCAGGCGGCGGCGAGGGGAGGAGTGATCGCTCGACTGTATCCGAGAAAAGCAACGCAAAACCGGGCTAATGCACACGGACACACGTCCAAGGAAAGCTAATGTGAGTGAAGCGGGGGTTACCGTACATTACAGCCTGCAGGAGGAAATGAGGCAGGTTTTCTAAATAAATACTGTCAAGGTTGCTGCTGCACTGTGGAGCATCACTGCCAAGCACATAATCTCACCCTGTTTATTTTCCCAAGTTGTCCCTCCTCACCTCACACACTCAGCCTCCCCTCACCCTCTTTCCGTCTTTGTCTCTTCTGTTCTTTACAAGGCCTCAGAGGAATGCTGTTTACCATAACAGTGTGTGTGAGTCCATCAGAAACACCTCCAGGAGAGAGTCAGGCTCCTCCTTCTTCCTGGTCAGATTTTCATGTTCATGAGGAGAAACAACTGAGGCTCTGTCGTGGTTCTGCTTTAGTTGCTTCAAAATCTATACATCCTGCTGGTGTTTGGGTGCGTCCAAACAAGAGCAACGTGTATGGAGTATGCCTAACAGGTGTATGTGGAGCTTAAGCTTGATATTTTTCTCTTTGGGTTATTTCTTTTATTTAGATCTGGTTTGCAGGATTTCACAAGGGGGAGAAATCCAGGCTGGATGTGTGTGTGTCCCTCTGTGTATCCTCTCTGTCTCTCCCATGACAGATGCGAGCCCGCATCAAATTGAGACAGATGAATCAATGGATTCACGCCATCACCCCTCAAACAGCCATGTCTTATGAGTCCTCTCTTCTCTGATTCTATTTCCATCGACTAAATGCAGGCCACATTTAAATCCGGGGGGTCGTGGTTATTAATTACTCCTCCAAGTTCAGTTGAAAGCTCAGGGAAACAGGGGGAGGAGCGGACGCATGGGGAGTAACGGCGGAGCACGCAGACAGGAACAAAGGCCCGCCACGAGGGTTCATGCCTCCCACTGCTGGAGACCCACATACTGCTGTGGCTCTGCAGAAAGAGGTTAGGACCACCTAGGCAGATTTCCCTGAGGGCTATTATCGCCCGGAAGATAAAATTATTTTCAGACAGGGGAGCTTCCACTCACACAGATGTACAGGGTGTGATACAGAGGGTTCTGAGGAATCATGTGCTCTGAGGACAGTTCCATTAAAAAAAGAAAAGAGGCAATCATCAATCCATCTCATGTCAAAGATTTGCTTCATAATTATTTTGCAAATCTAAAAATAAAAATGCTTAATTTGTAGCTTGAAAAGGAAACAACCTAAACTATAAAAATAAGATTAATACAAAAAACATGTTGTCTGTTCGAACACTAAAGACAGCCTTTCAAAATAAGAGTCCATGAGCAGAAGAGGTGGAAGAGATAAATGTAATGACAGGTGTGGTCTTTTAGTTTGATTTCAAATATTGACGCGGCGGTCTCATTATCTGGTGTAATCAGTCTAAGGAAATATTTGTTGATGTATTTTGTGCACTTCATGTATACATGGTGAAGTCGTTCAACAATTCTGCCTTAAAGACCCAGTTTTAATGGATCCATAACAATCCACCTTCCCTCATTTCATGTCTGCATTCAATAATCTTCATGTGAAACAAAAACAAAATATTAAGTCCTCACATGCTGCAAACAATAAAAAAAAGGAAAAGATCTGGGTTTGTCCATCGGTCACTGATTATTACACATTATCATAACCAGGCAAAACCTGTGACACATCAAACGGAGCGTTCAAACAGTGACTTTATTGACTGAAATGAAGAAATGATTGAGATGAAAGAGGAGGTGAAGACTTTGAGCCAGATATGAAAGTATCCACAGCCCATAGACGACAATGTGAGTGTAGGACGAGTCGACTGCTAAATTTCTTTCCTCCTTCTGTCTGAAAACAGCGTCCTCATTCCACTGTCTCTGTTTTCTGTCCACAATGACTGGCAGCCATTGAAAGAGGGATGGTTTGAAGTGCTGAGAGAAGAAGGTGCAGTGGTTAGAGTAAGAAGAGCCCACGTTCAAACACATGCAGGTTAGTTTAATTAAAAACTTTAAACTACCCAGTAGGTGTGAATGGTTGTTTGTCTTTGTATATTACCCTTGTGATATGCTGGTGACCAGGTGTGCCCTGCCTCTTGCTCAATGTCAGCTGGGATTGGCTCCAGCGCCCTGTGACCCTCAGAGTATGGGTGCTATAGATAATGGATGGATGGATGAAAGAAGAACAGGACGTTTTGGGAGTTTAAGGTTTGTCGAGTCTGGCCTTTTGCTTGTTTTTACAAAACATGATCTTGGAATTCATAATTTTTAATGAAATCCATTCTACACGAAGCCTGAAAACATATCTACATCTTCCCTCACACGTAATTGTGAAAAATTTAATGCAGACGTCTTTGCTTCCTCTCTGTCCTACCTATTGCCAGCTCTCAATAAATTTGTCAAAGTGCAGCCTTCAGCAGCCTATAGGCCTGTGTGACACAGCTCACCTGGAAGAGCTGTGTGACTTAGAGACTTAGAAATGTCAGCCGTCAGTTTGTTTACTCGCACTAAGCCTGTCTTGAAGTGGAAGGAATCCAGGGATTGTTTATTCCTCTATGTCATGATGCAATTTTAAGTGAGATGTCGTACGGTGCTGAAATGATTAACAGGCTTGCTTATCACTCAACTGACAGAAAGTCAAGCAATAATTTTGAGAATCAAGTTTTAATCAAGAAATGATTGGGTCAAGTTTTCATTTTGGACCCTTTGTTCGAAGAAAACTAACTTTTTGAAAGGGAGAGCATGTGGAAACCTTCTCACAAAAACCTTCTTATTATGTTAAAGAAAGTGAAAAACAGTTATTGGATTCAAACCTAAATTGAATGAGTTCTTCCGTGACTCATGCTGTATCTTCCACCAAGTTTTGTAGTAATGTGTCCAGTAGTTTTTGTGTAATCCTGCCAACTCAAAAACAAACAGACGAACACATCACCTCCTTGGCAGATGAGACATTCATTTGTTTATTAAGGTTTCAAGTTGTGACTGAAGACTTTATTGATGATGAGGAAATCATTTACTAAAGCTTTAACGGTCAGTGATAGTCTTGAGTGTTGACTGATGAGGGGCTGCAAACTAAACAAAAGTCCATTTGATAATTTAATCATTATCGTGATATAATGATCTTTATATTTGCAGAATTGTTTTCTTACCAGAATGGGAGAAACCCATGAGCATTTATAAACAGATAAACCACATTTTTAAGTCTCACCCAACATTGGTTATTCTCTGTGTTTACAACCGATCTATCAACTACTAGATGATTATTATTGACTATTATTAGTTATTCAAACTTTTTAAAGAGGGTGCTTTATTCTTTAAGGGATAGTTCACCCAAAAACTGATATCCTAGTTACTGCTGCGGCATAGTGAGTAGATAATGAGTGAATTTTCATTTTTGGGTGAACTATCCCTTTAAGTGCCATAGGCTAACTTAATCTGTCTGGGCTTCCAACGACTTTATATAAATATGTTTATATACATGGCAACTATTAAAAGTGTAAAATGATACTGCAGCTCATGTGAAATTTCACCAAAGCCTTGTTTCATAGAAGCCTCAGTGTGGACTCAACTTTTTTCTCTTGAAACTCGACCCTGCAGCTGAAATATAAAATGCTGATGTGTGAGGAAAAATAAAAATAATCCTCAACTTCATTTCATTTCAAAGCTCGTGAGCATCAACGTGGATGAAGCCACGGTGTCACACGCGGGCTCGTGGGATAAATGTGCCACGCGTGCCTGTGTTGTCAGCCTGTGGGAGCTGCAGCCATGGGTGGCCAGCGGGCGGGATTTCTAATGGTGATGAATCCCGGGGGTCTGAGTAATTATGGCTGTCGCTGGACGGAGAGAGAGGGGGGGGGGGCAACAACCCGGCGGAGGCATTTTATCTTAATCACAGCTCAGCTCAATTCAAATTAATTTGACAAGTTTCCCCCCCAATCCTTATTAAAAGACGCGTATGGCAAATGACACCCCCCCCCCCCCCCTCCTCTAAATACCTCGTCATTAAAGAAAAATATTAGAAATATGTTTTTAAGAGAGAGAGGGAGGGAGGGGGCACTGTGAGGGTGCGAGATGATTTCCCGGAGATATTTGTGTCCCTGTAGTGCGCCCTGAGCCACCATCCATCCATCCCTCCCTCCCTCCCACCTCCCCGGGTGTTTCTATAGTAATTTCCAGCCAATGATCAGTAGGTGTCCACATCCCTGCTTGCTCACCTCAGCACCAATCAGCCACACACAGCGACAGGAGACACGGACTGAGCAGAGACCAGGCAGACGCACAGCACAGCACAGCCCCCGGATCAGCAGGAGAGGAAGCGCGTGAACCCCCCAGTTCTTCTTCTGCTGCTGCTGCTGCCATCTCAACCCCCACGTTTATTTTTGTGCGCGACATATTTTTATTGGAGGATATTTTTGCACTTTTTTTCCCCAACATTTTTTTTCTACTAACGTGAAAAAGAAAGTCGATAAAATGCTTCTTTTGTTTTGAGCGCTCTGAACACACACACGCACGCACACGCACATTCACACGCTCGTCCCGCTCTCCCGTGTGTCTGTGCGTCTTCGCGCATCTTTGGCGTTATTTCCCTCCGCGCAGTGATGTGCCGTTACGCGGGCGCAGGCTGGTAGCATCGTGGGAGCTCCTCTCTACAGGAACCTGGTAGGTGATGCTCTCTCCCCCTCTCTCTCTCCCTCTCTCTCTCACACACACTCACTATTTCTCCCCCCCCCCCCCTTCTCTCTCTCTCTCTCTCTCTCTCTCTCTCTGTCCACATGCATGCGTCCCCCCCTGTCCCGGATAGTCTCCATGCGGCTGCCAAGTGATCCAGCCGGTGTCAGAGGTGTTTGTGGGCTTGTGTTTGCTCTGTAGCACCGCTCTCTTCCTCCTCCTCCTCCTCCTCTGTGGATTATCTATGCACGACCTTTGGTCTGATCGTCTACCACAGACCAGAGTGTCATTAACAGCATCACGGTGCAGCAGCGGCGGCGGCGGCGGCGGCACAATGGTTCGTCATCGGACGTGGCTTTTTCCACTTTTCTTTCTTCAGTCTCCTCTTTACGCACTCCCTCTCTCCCCCTCTCTCCCTCTGTGTCTCTCCGGCTCCCGAGTATTGAACATTTCTGTCTCTCTAAACTTTGTTTACAGGCTGAAAAAAATCAATGTCCGTGACTTGATTGCCTTTGGGCTGCGTTTTTTGCTCCAGGGGTGAATTGATTAAGTAATAATGACCCTGAGGAGGGCCGATCATTAAGCCAAGGAGGTTTTGTTTACTGGTGGTTTGCGGCTTGTTTTGGACGCCACATCGACACAGAAGCTCCAGATCTGGAGCCTCACATTGGTGCCACAACATTTAAAAATAACAACAGCTTCATGTTTTTGTGCAGAATTGAAAAGTGAGCCATTTCGTAAATGTTGAGATTCTATCATCAGGATAATTTAGCACTTAATATAGGAAATGTGAATGAGCGGATGTTATTCAGCGACCAGAAGACTTAAACATGCCATCTAGCTTTATCTCTCCACTTCCATGTGTGCATATTTCTAATTCACATATTTTTTTCAAGACAGCTGCTGGGTAGCACCATGGAAGTGATTTGAAATGCTGTAGTGTTCCAGCAATGGATCAGCTTTGGCAATTAAGAGAGAAAGCCCAGAAAAAGGTAATGGAAGTAGGGGGAGATGTGTCTAATGGGCTTTTATCTGTGGAAACCAAATCCAGACAGACTGGTGGAGAGAGGCAGGGAGAGAAAGAGAGAGAGAGAGAAGGGAAATGGAGCACCCCCCCCCCCTCTCTCACACAAACACACACACACCTAACATGTGCACCCACACACACACTTGGACACATTGTAGTTGGTCTGGTCCATGATCTGGATGTAAATTCACCAGTGACTGTGTTGTCAATGGGTAAATGTAATAGAGCTGGTCTGGAATGAAATCAAGGTGCTCTCCAGAGGCTGGATAGACTCATGTGTACATGTGTGGGTTCGCCTCTGCTATTTGGATAAGATGAAAAAAAAAAAAATCTGAAATATTTAACTATGTTCCTCCTGGCACCCAAAGAAGATTATTTTTTAAGAGCTTATATCGCAGGCCTAAGGTAAAAGTCTTTGTGTTTGTAGCTGCTGCTGTCTTAATCTGAATTCTAGGGAGCCTCTCCTCAAACTTTTCAAAAAAATAAGAAAGTGATATTTTGGGTTTGAATATTAGGTCTACATTTCAATGTTTTGATGAAACGTACCCTTGTGTATTCTGATGTATTTATTCAGTCTGTGAAGTATCTGATTGGACTTTCTTCAAAATATGTAAGAATAACTTGAAAAGACGTCTAAAAAATGTTGAAAGTGTGGCGTTTTCTGAAGCATGCTAATTCCTCCCCACATTATAATAATGGCATGTTGGTCTGTCACAGCTATCACGTTATTGTCACCAGATGAAGATCACTTCTGACTACTTGTGATAGTTGCATTATGAAACGTCAGAGCGTAAACAATGTGCCAGAGGAGTCTTCAAATGTTCAGCTGTTGTCTTCAGAGAGAAGTTGACGCGGTGAGATGAAATCTGATTAGAATGAAAACATTTGCCTCTTTTATGTGTAACTGTTGTTTTCTTGCTTTTAGCGCTGGAGAAGATAAACCAGGATGGTAACACACTGTTGGTGACCAGCTTCAGTTCAACGACGGCCGCCATCACTCCACGCTCTTCTCCTGAACATTGACTACCAGTCCTCAGCCATGTCTAACATAAACAGTGCACTTTGCATTGAAAACGGACAGAACGCAGATATTTCTCTCTTACAAAAGGATACTCTGTCCGATGGTGGATTAAGCCAGCTTTTGGATTATAATGCAGAAATGGAAAGGTACAGGTCTTTTGCAAACTTTTATAAAACCAATGGGGCATTTCCACAGACTGCCAAGATTGCCCGCATCACAACGCCCATTTTTCCCAGTGCTAGAATTGGCATGTCCCCTTGGAACTGCGATAACGCCATGCTCTGGGGAAGGAAATCAGCGGCAATAAACCCTAATAGGACCAGCATGCATAGAAATGACTCCCAGAGGCCGGGGAAGCCTGGCGTGCCGCCAGAGACGCTGCAAATGGCAAATAATAATTTCCTCTCTACCTTATCCCCCGAACACTGCAGACCTTTAGCAGGAGAATGCATGAACAAGCTGAAATGCGGCGCTGCTGAAGCAGAGATAATGAATCTCCCAGAACGCGTTGGAACTTTTTCCGCTATTCCGGCTTTAGGGGGCATCTCATTACCTCCCGGGGTCATCGTCATGACAGCCCTTCACTCCCCCGCAGCCTCAGCAGCCGTTACAGACAGTGCGTTTCAAATTGCCAATCTGGCAGACTGCCCACAGAATAATTCCTCGGCATCCAGTGGAAACCCAGCGAAGAAGAAAAGGAAAAGGTGTGGGGTCTGTGCACCCTGCAGGCGTCTAATCAACTGTGGTGTCTGCAGCAGTTGTCGGAACCGCAAAACGGGCCACCAGATCTGCAAGTTTAGGAAATGCGAGGAGCTGAAAAAGAAGCCAGGCTCATCGCTGGAGGTGAGAACTGGGGCTCTGCCTCCCCTTCTTTTGTTATTATCCCCTTGCACTCCAAAGCATTAACCTTTTCATCCAGTCACGTTCTAAGCCCTTGAAAATTGTTTCCATGCCCACCCATGCCTGAACATCCCCCCGGCTTCTCAAATCTGCCTACCCGCCTAGCCTAATTGGCAGTAATTAGGGGTGTTTGTACGGAGCGCAAGCTGAGCTTGGCTCAGACACCCCTAATTGCTGCCAGTCAGGCTGGGGCTGGAACGCATCCGAACAACCCCAAGCTTGGCTCAGCTCCAAGCAGGGCTGGGAAATGGTTTTCAGCAGAGAGCCATCCCTCTCTGCACCCGGTCATTTTAACCAATTATGGAAACCGTCTCTGGATGGGGAGAATCAATATCCCACAAAGCCTCAGCCTCCGACCACCAAGAGACGGTGAGAGTGATGGCAGGGCTGCTTGATGGCTCTTCTAAAAACAGCCCCCAAGTTTTGTGTTTGGGGGAGGGTGGGTTAGTGGACCTGTATGAATTGGCTGTGCATACACAGAGGGGTTGAGATGAAATCATTCTATATTATATTTGTGTCATTAAGGCCAATTATAGATCAATGTAGGGCATGATGCAGATCAGGAGGGATGCAGAGTCAGAACAAAATCACTGTCACTCAGAGAAAAAATGACTAAGACACAGCGAGAGGCTTCATTAGGACACAATCAGAGGACAGCGTTGTTTTTAAAAGTTCATTCTAATTGATTTATTTACTGAATGATATTCAGTTGTCAAGGGCAGAGGCAGAATATGTTAGGTTGCAGATGTGGTTCTCTTTACCCTGAGAGCTTGAACTTGCTTACTGACTTTACATGAGCCTGTATATGGATGAGTCACCAATGCAACCTGAGGGCCTCGTGATTTGCTCATTAATCAAATGATTACACAGAGAGGAAAAAGAGGTTAATTAGAGGAATTTCACCTAATCTGCTTATGGAAAAACACCATGTATGGGGCATTATTTGTTTGTGATTAATTACGTGATTGATTTTTTAAAAAGTGTTCATTTAATAAGATAATATTGTGTCTTCATCTGGTTTTTCTCATGATTTATAGTGTAAACATCACCTTGTTCCTGCTGCTTTTCAGTGACCGGGAAATTATGCAAACATTCAGAGTAGATTTGAGACATAAACGTGCAAATGTTGAAGCTTGTTCTTGAACAATGATGTGACAAGCTTGATGTGACATAATACATTTAGTTGTAAATAATTTCATGAGTCATTAAGATGACCATTCAGCCACCAGGTAGCCGCTGTGTCAGTCATTTTAAGCAATTATTTCAAAGGTTGTGCAGAAGGCAAAAGTTCAAAAGTTTTTTGAAACTGCTTAGCTTAGCTAGTTCAAAACTAGGATCCATTTTGGGGAGTTTTAAGTTCTTAAGAAATTCTTTTTTACGTGAAAAACTGCACATGAAATGAGAGTATGTTGAAAATTAACTTTAAAGACACGTTTCTGTAGCTTCCAACAAGAAATAATAAAGCAGGTCACTGCTCTAGAAATGAAACCTGTTTTTTTAAAACTGACACAGAGGGATGTACAAATGAGGGAATATCACCTGCTTGAAGGAAATGTAACTTTTTTACAGTTTAGGATTCAAATCACAGACAAAAAAAGATTTTGTGTACGATACTGTCTCTCAATAATTTCCATATGTTGCAGCCATAAAAACACAATTAGTTTAAATAATTAATTTGGTGTTTTGAACTGTAGCTTTAACCGAGTGTTGGAACAAGCTGATAGAGAATAAACATGTGACTGGTTTTACAGTGTGGAAATTATGGGGAAACCTCAGTTTGAATAAAGAGGTCACTGATTGGTTGTGGGTTGTGGGTCAGACACAACCAGAAGGGGTTAATCGGAAGCTAATTTATTGTCGTCTCCATTCATCGTGTACTAACAGGTGTCACAAACAGGTGTCCAGGAAGCCAGTCTCACGTTCTTAATGCAGGGGTAGACGCACTTTTGGAAAACATCCATTTGCAAAGAAGGTTAGAATTACAAGGGTGTGAAAAAGAAATACCTCAAACAAATCCATACTTGCTTTTAAAAGCTCCTCCAGTGAGTTCAGTAATTCATATTATACGGACTCCTCTCGCTGTAATTGTTATTTTTGACTCTGCATCTGTAATTACAGGTGCGCCTTCTGCTGCGGAAATGGGTTTAAAGGCATCTAAGAGGTGTGAAGTGGTGCCTTGCTTAGTTCTAACTTTTATGCGAACATTAACAAGGGTTTTTGTTTCTTCATCTTGCTGATGCTGCTGCGGTCACTTCGGTGGGGTGACAAGTGTGAGAAATCAGGGGCTGGAGCGATTTTCCAAGAGGAATTTACAGTCTGTGCAAATTCACATGTGAGCAGCACAACACATGTATGCACACTGTCTCTCATCCTCTCTCACTCACACACACACAAAGAAGCACAAAGTCACACTCACATCCACACTCTCACAAACAAACAAACAAACGCACACACACCAAACATGAGCCGAGTCTACCTTTTGCCTTGGAAGAGACGATAAGCCACTGGCAGCCAGTTAGATTTGGCTGTCAGTGTTTTCCACATGGGAATCACCCTGAACTAATTATATCTTAAGCAGCGGTGGAAAATGCAAATCAGAATTTTACTCACACCCCTGAAATTGGAGAGCCAATTTAATCTAATACCCCCTTTAATTTAGCGCGCTAATGCAAGGCCCTAGAGAATTGCCCTGTGTCACTGCTGCTGTTCTGCAGCAGATTCCGCTCTCTCTCTCTCTCTCTCTCTCGCTCTGTCTCACTCTCTCGCTCTGTCTCGGTGCCGCTCTCAGGCTCCAGGATGGATTAGTCTGGCGGAGGAATCTCATCTAACCTAACATTTCCTGAGCAGTTACGTTTGCATAGCTTGAGCTCCGATGGCTCAAAGGTCTTTCATTAACTTTCAATTGAAATAATACTCATGTGGGCGAGTTGTGTCGTACCTCACCTGTTTACCTCGACTTTACTTTTATTTCTGCAGCGAGGCGCTAGTTGAATTTTGTAAATGTAAAAGTTACACTTGCCTGCATGTGTTCCCTAGCATATTGATTCACACTGTGGCACCAGTATTCACATAATGTTAGGTGATCCACACATTTGTGAGCTAATCCTATTCTACAGCAGTGTTTATAGATCTTTGTGGCTGTGATAGTTGCAGCACTTGTGACCTCACATCACAGGTCATGGCCTGAGTGAGACAGGACCTTTTTTTAACAAGAAAAGGACAGCACATCAATTATAAAGTATAATACAAGTTCATCTAATTTAATCTATCAGGATTTTATACAGGTTCTGGTGTCAATTATTTTGTTTTTTGCTTTCAGGGGCATTTTGTGTTTTTAAGGGAGGTTGAGAATTGAGATTCACTGAAATGGCACTAAAGTAGAGCTCCAGTGTTAATGCTAATGTTCTAACATAAAACTACATAAACTAGAATAATGTAGTCCTCGTTGGTTAATAATTTTAGATTTATAAAAGACCCATCAGAAGTCAGAAAATGAAGTTATAATGGAAGTTATAATTAATGCAATCCAGGTAACAAGACCATTAGTTTTCTATGACAAAAGCCAGAGTACCTGGAAAGACGTATAACCAAGCTGTGAAAAGATCCATCCAGATTTCAAGAACATATACAACAAAACAACCTTTTCACATATTTTTTCTGTAATTAGTGTCAGAACTGCTGATTATACACCAGGAGTCTAATGCCTGCAGGTTGAGGTCTGAAACAACATCTTCATTCATTACGTGTTTTGATAGAAACACCCTCATTGTCCTTATAACCACATGATTCCATGTGCTGCTTCACTGGCTTCTTGGAAATATCGTCAGGAACAATTTAACTCAAACACTGTTTACAATACTGCAAAGGAAAAGCAGAAAACTTGCCTGATTGAACGTATTAACACGTGTAAAAGCAGGACGAGGGCGAAGCAAACTCCAGTTGAACTGATTCCTCCTTTCAATTACAAATGTCAAAGGGCGGCATCAAGTCATGTGCAGGGAAACCTAGAATAAGGCTTTCTCTCTCTCTCTCTCTGTTTCTTGCTCTCTCTCTCTGTTCTTTGTGCAGCGTTGATATGAGTTCATGAAATGGGTGAGATGAAAAGGTGGCAATGGCTGCAGAGAAACCTTTTGCTATTGTGATAAAAGACAAGGCCCAAAATGGTAGGAAGCAGGACCTTGAGGAAAATCGCTTGGATTCAGCCTCTTAATGAGAGTACGGAAGCCAAATAAGCAACAGCAGCCAGGTCTAATTTGTTTTAGGTGTGCTCGGAATAGATAAGGACAAATCTGTGGCCTTCACCCCTTCCCCCACCCCCAACCTTTGCCTCCCTGGAGATAACACTGAGTGCTCCCAGCCAATCTCCGCGGGCAAAGGAGAGGGGGGTAAAGAAATAAAAAAAAAAAAGCAGTAAGGGAAAAGCCTGAGGGACAGACGGCCTTTAGATCTGCAGATCTCTAACTTACTGGATTTATTCAAGCTTTAAAACTGCAGATTAATTTGGTCGCAGAGGTCTGGGGGAGTGTGAAAAAAGAAAAGGAAAACGAGGCTGCACGCCGCTGCACGCCGCTGCACATCTCGACCTAAAGGGCAACCTTAAGCTCCTGTCAAGACAATAGGATTTTGCCATCTGAACCACGATGCAGACCGCTTAATTAAACACATCTTCCCTGCAAGCTAAAGTCAGCTACTAAGGAGCACAGGCCCCCTTATTCCTTGTCATGCCCTTTTTCCCCTAGATTGGTTGTGCCGTGTGGATTTTCTGTCAACTTCCATTTGCACAGGGTAGCTGTCCTCCTTAGGCCTGTGCTGCGCTCGGAAAAAGCCACGGTCGTGTGGTGCTGTTAAAGAATTCATCGTTTTTGCCACTGCCACCAATTAAGGCCAGAGCGTAATCGGAGGCGTCCAGACGATGCCCTTACATTATGTGGTCTGTCGCCTCC